GGGGGGGGGGGGGCTCCTGGGATTTGTGCATCCCGGTTTTAATGTATGATTTGTTTCATATACAGTATATATTTATAAGGGATGCAACGATACCATTTTTTACAGACCAAGTACTGATACTTATCCAAGTAATACAGATACCACAGACACCAATTACTGATACCTTTTATTTTATTGTCATGTGAATTTTTTTCTAAAACAATACAGACTAAGGATTTCAGGACAGTGGTGGAGCACCAGGGCCCAGTTGCTGATGCAACCACTGCAACCCTGGTAGTTCTCGTGAAAATGTCAAGTATGGGCACTGGTTTCTGAACATCCCTAATGACAAGCATAGGGATATGAAATACAAAGCAGAGCCTCTATATACCTCTCAGCCCTGGGCTGATTTTTCAGCAGCAGATGGACTTCATAGACATTGGGGTTGATTTACTAAAAGCAAATAGGCTGTTCACTTTACAACAGAATTTTCCCTTAGCTTAGTGAATGAGATAAAGCTCTGCTGACTTCCATCGTCCAAACATGTACAAGCAAAATTACATTTTTTTTACATGTTCATTGCATGTGATTGGTTATTCTTTGCAATGTGAATTTTCATCACATTCACTAAGCTAAGGGAAAGTTCCCTTGCAAAGTGAAGGCCTATTTGCTTTTAGTAAATTAACCCCACCGAGTTAATGCCACAAACAGTAGCCAGCACTGAACAGTAAAGAAATTATAGAAAAGCTACAAGGAGGGGTTATCTTCTTGGGCATCTTAGTTACTTATACTTGACAGGAGAAGTTTATCTAAAGCCACATGATTTTTTTTATTATGGATGGAGTATGAATGGTTAAAATCCCTGTCAGGTTTTTTTCTGCCATCGATGGGTAGATTTCCCTTCACTTTATGACCTGTAGGTAAAATAAATAAGTGGAAATCTATTGAAAGTGATGGCAATCCCCTCTTAAAGTGTTGTCACCAAAATGAGTGTGGTCATTGAAGGATTTCCCTATTTTTCCTCTTCCAGTGACAACTAAAAAATTTGGATTTTCCCCACTTTTTAGTCCTGATCACTACGGTTACCAAGACATGTAGAGAGGTTGAATTTTCCAATTGGAGACATCAGTAAAAACATGAATGCAAAGAAGAAAGCACCAAAAGCAGAACATAGAAAGCCCAGATTTAATTTTATGCAGACTCTTTTATGCAGACTATTTTATGCAGATATCATCAAAAGCCAGCACAATTTTATGTGTACTGCACTAATAAAATTGGAGGGGTAATTAGTATGATCACTTCAGATGCCAGTTAGGCAAGGTTTCTAACCCCTCGCCACTCCTTCCAAAACTAAATAAAATTTTGGCTTAAGGCACACTTCAAAAGAAACCTACAAATTGCCTAGTAAAAATACTAGTCGCCTGGTTGTCTCTAGCATTTAGTACATTTTCAGCCTCTGACAAGCATGCAGATCATGAAAGTCAGAGTAAAGACAGAAGTCCAGATCTCCATACTTTCCTTTAACAGGAGATCCAAAAACTGAGAAAAGCTATTTGATATACTGTATGCAAGATAGCTGCTGGCTAGGGAGGAGTTATAGCAGCAGAATAACACCTAGAACAGTTCTTTAATGTTTTCCTGTGTAGACTTGTTGGTTTGATGATGCCACTACTTAGACAATTTCACAAAGTCACATAGACAATTTATATTCATTTGAGGTAAGGAAAAGAAGATGCCAGTCCCACTGACTTTCATTTTCTAAGCTGATCAGGGTTAAACATCAAGTTTATTAAATGGACCCTTATGTCCTGCTAAATTCTAACTTGTGGTAGGTCACAGGCATATTTACTCACCTCTAGAGTTCCTATGGGGTTTCAAAAGGGGGTGAATTGAAGTTGTTTTTAGAGCCATAACTCTTTTTTAAGTTTTAAATAAAGTAGGGAACGGTGAAAAGCCCTCTCTGTTTTTTTTTCTTTGTTGTCTGTCATTTGCAGATAATTTTCTGCTCTTCCTGTTCTAGAGACACAACAGGCAGTGAGAGGGGACATCTTAAGCTGTCCATACGTGGCTCAAACTCCATGTTTCATGGTGAATTAGCCTATATTTGATCGATGGGTGGCCCTGCTGGCACTGATTAACTAGACAAAAGTAGATTTTCCAGTCGACTTTTGTTGTTGGAGTTGGGTGGCCAATCATCTGTAGTCACTGTTTGGGTATGCCAGCCGTGGGCTCTAGCAGTCAGAATAAAATAGGCCGCAAGGGGACATTTCCCCATCCATAAACTTTTGCATGGATGGGAAAATCAAGTGATTTTTCTCGCTCATTCCCTTACAGTTTTTTGGCCAGCTTTAGACAGTTGTCACCAGCACAGGTGACAGCATTGGAAGTTTCCCTCTCACCAGCTGTTTCAGTAACAACCATAACATTTTGGATTTCTCATCACTTTATTCTTTAATCTTATTTAAATCTTATTTTGTTATAGCTAACCATTTCCTACTCTTTTCCAAGCTAATAAAATAAGGGTTTTGGCTATACCTAGAGTCCTTTTAGCTTTAAGCTATAGAAAACCTATCTATATGTATATATATAGTTATGAATTTAACTAAATTATATCCTATCTGATTTAAACCTCTATTGCACAAGTATAATTAGGTTTATTTAAATATAAACATTAGATTATTTTACAATGGTACACATGAAAACTTTTTAAAGAGTATGCCTAAAGATAATAAAGGCTTACTGAACATCTGTACACTGACAGGATCATAACAGGATTCAGAAACATTAAACGTCCACCCCATGGTATCAGTCAGATATTTAATTGTTGTGGCTTGTATCCATTCATTTATTCAATACTATGTACTTTTCGGGAAAGGTAATGAATCTCACACAATGTATATTCATTTGCATTGCTAACTATTTATCTATTCAAACTTTACTGCATATGAGGCAAAGCATGCTAACATCATTGTTAGGCATTCCAAGCAATCTGAAGTTGATAGAAAAGTAAACCTGGACACACAAATATATTCTAAAACTTAAGGCCAATACGAATCTGGCTGCAAAACATAATCCACTGTACTCTTCTGCATTCCCAGCTGCTGTTCTATTCTATAATAAATACATATAAACTATTGATTCTATGAAGGAATATTATACATTTTAAAAGGCACTTTGATTTCATTGCTTACCTGGCAGTTTAATGATTTAAAGAAAGTAGTCCAGAGATGTAGAACAGAAAGAGCTTTGTTAGAATGCAGCTGCCCTTAAGTGCTGATATAATATGTAATTGTGCTGAGCATAAGAAACACACCCACGAACATGTATGAGGGCAGGTATGAGTCAGTCCTATTCCTACCCAACAAAAATGATAAATATTGGCAGCATTTGCACAGTACAGCAGGGTAGTGGCTTGATGAAGTTATAGTGTTGGAAGTTAGAACATGCTCATGCATGAAACCTACTGTCTCTTGCTAGTCTTGTGAAATACAGGATCTGATCCATGTCTCACTGACTCCTTTAATCTGCACAGTATATTCAAAGTAAAGATGGGTCCCCAATGTGGCATCGTTGGCCATATAAAACAAACTTTATTGGCTAATTTACCAAAAAGTAGCATATTAATTATCAAGTCTCACTCAATCACATCTATAAAATATTAACTCCCCCCCCCCC